AGGAACAAGAAAGAAGGCTGCGCCTAAACGCTGGGTCAAGCAATAAGAGCAATATCCACTCAAACGTAACATGCCAAACGTGCACGGGTTTAGGTAATACTGTTAGAATTTATGATAATTAATTAATTAATTAATTATTATTGTGATAATACTTATTCTTTCTAGATATAAATAATTTGTTCATATCTTATCTGTATTGTTTTACGTAATCCATCATTATTCATAGCAGAAAATAGGTTTTTTTAATCTCTCTCGTCTTTCCATCTCTCAGTCACGCATAAAACCCTGATTGCTAAGGCAAGGTGCTCTTAGACTGTGGCTCAAAGGATATTTTCTATACGTTGCTAAGGCAAGGTGCTCTTAGACTGTGGCTCAAAGGATATTTTCTATACGTTATGGTTGCTCCTATGGTTGATAATACGAGGCTTATTTCTTCGCTACAAAAAGTATATCCATCTTTGTTTTCATATATATATGTATATACTTCCAATAGATACCGATTAGATTCAAGCAGTAAGGTACATTGACGGATGATTTCTGTGAATTTAAGAAATTCGATCTAGAAAAGCATTCATAAGAGAAACAATCAAGAACCAGATACTCGATTTCAATCCCAAATTGAAATCAAAATCAACTAGCCAGTTCTCAAACTTAAAAATCAGTTTTAATCTCAGTTTAGAACCTAGAAAGCCTTAAAGTGCTGGCTCATTACTAAAACCTTTCGTTCAATGAATCAGGCAGGCAAATTGGATAGCAACGTTTGCATTTTTAGTATAATCCGTAGTCAAAGAAAACTGCAATGATTGGGACATCCTTAGTTGTGGACATAAGTATTATATTTTTTAAGGTTGGTTCTAAAACAAGACGAAAAACCCATTCTGTTTAAATACAAAGTTTTCTTTTATTTTCTCGTCTAGACTAAGTTCCGTAATAGCTTTTGATATAACTTTTAATGATTTGAATAGCTTTGCAGATATAACTTTTGAATGATTTATTAACTCTATTATTTATAGGATCTTAGTAGCATGATTTTGATTTTTGTATATTAATATTAGGAGTTTAAAACATCTTAATAATTACTAAAACAGTTAAATTTTTATTGAACATTGACTCGAAACGGCAAGATCTCATTTATATATATTTTTGGTTTTTGATATCAATAAAATATTAGACAATTTAAATCCAATATTTGATGTCAATATAATTTCAGGCTATGTTGATGGTCCAACTTTGATAAATAGAGAAAAATGTTTTAAAGTTGGAAGCAGAAAGTGCGAAATTAGGATGAAGCATATCATTTTCAATAAAGAGGATAACCACGTGGGTCATTTTTGGATAGATTATTAGTTGCAGCAGCAATAAAATTAAAATTATACCAATTTTGAAGAAAATCTTGATTAATTTATTAGTTGAGATCATTAGATTATGAGATCATTTTTATTTCAATTTAGTTCGAGCTTGATAATAGTTAATCGATGTATTATTATTATTATTATTATTATTATTATTATTATAATACAAAAATATTAGTAGTAATTAGAAACACAATCTCAATATTATTAAAATTCATTGTCTGACTACAAATTTAGATTTTATCTATCAAAATATACCACATCATTTTGGAATTGAAAACATTATAGCACATCAAAATATAAATCGAATTATTTTTTATTCAAAATGGGAAATTTACTAAAATAAATATAAATCGAATTATTTTTTATTCAAAATGGGAAATTTACTAAAATACAATTATTATATTGTAGCAATTTTGAAGAAGAACATTTAGTTTGAAAAAAAAAATTGAGGAACTAAAGTGGCTGGACAAAGTAATTTGATAATTACGTGTCAAAAAAATGTATCTATATTAAACAGAAAGAAAATACAAAATTTGCTATTTTCTATGCAAAATCAAAATTCTATGGTCTTTATTTCCACATTCTACAGAAAGTGTTTTTTTGCTTTGTTTGGAAAAAAAGTATTGAAAGAAGAAATATTTCACGTACTTTCCACTAGACTTATCATATTTTGAAGCTTTCCAATTTAAAGAGAAAAAATAAAAGAAAGTGAAATTTTCACTTATTTTTATTGAATTATCTAAAAGCCTCAAAATAACTAGAATTACATTCTATTGTAAAATAAATAAAAGTATAATTAATCGATTAAATTTTTCAACAATAAAATATTTTATTTTCTTTCCCAAACACACAGAAAATAATTTATAATTTTTCCATTTTATATATTATCGAAATTATAACTGATGAAAATTCAACTTAATATGAGATTATTATACATTTTAGTTAGAGTGAATAAACATCCTAATTTTTTCTGTCGGGGACTACAAGTAATCAAATTTTTCATATCAATAAGGTAGAAGAGTTTATAAAAACTAAACATTACCACCAAGATGAATGTTCTAGGATGTGAGCTTGCAAAGTTTTTGAATCTATTTAACCTCAAGATTTTTTTGAGTCAATATTTGACTCATTAATTCTAATGTAAGCTAGTCCACATTTTAACACTTTGCTAAAATTTTAAATTTGTAACATAAATTCGTTTGAATATCTAATTCGGATATAATGTATGCAAATTCATTGAATATCAGATTAATGGTTATTTTGAAATGTTAGTCCATTCAAGTTTAAATGTTCTTGCTCCACAATCAATTCAAAGAAATTAACTATATGAATTATCTTTATTGCGTGCAGTATTTGTAAATGGTAATAGTCCATTCAAGTTTAAAGGTTCTTGCTCCACAATCAATTCAAAGAAATTAACTATATGAATTATCTTTGGTGCAGTATTTGTAAATGGAAAATGCTGCAAGGATCCAGAGCATGTAACAGCAGACCAACATCAGAACAACTCGGAGTCCATACAAATCTCTTAACGGTCGAAGAAATACCAGGGCTCAATGCTTTAGCACAATCCATTGCTCGCATTGACATCTAAGCATGCGGAGTCAACCTCCACACCATCACCCTCGAGCATCAGAAATCATTATAGTATTGGAAGGAACTCTTTATGCCGGTTTCATTACGGCAAATCCTGATCATAGGGCTTTTGTCAAAGAGTATAAAGACGGTAGATGTTTTTGTTTTTCCATTTGGATTAATTCATTTCCAGTTTAATATGGGCAGAAGTCCTGCAGTTGCTATAGCAGCATTAAGTAGTCAAAATGCAGGAGTGGTGACTTCAGCAAATACTATTTTTGGAGCTGTTCCTTCTCTTAATGCGAATCTTCTGGCAAGAGCTTATCATCTTGATAGAAGTACAGTGGCCAATCTTACAAAACAAAAATGGGTCAATCCATCTGACACTAATGCTTTTTCTAGCTATCGTTGATATGATTTCTTCATTTTAGAGTTTTAACAGAGAAATAAAATGTCGATTGGTTTTTGCCAACTCTGTGTTATTTGTATTCATTTCGTAAAGTTTCATTGTAATAACAAGAGACTCTCTATCGGAGAAGTGAAATGGGATGGCAGGGATTTCTTCTTCCTTTAGCCATAGGTCTTGAATTCGAGCCTAAATATGAAGTCTCTTTAAACCACTCGCGACGGAGCGCTTTGCCATCCTTTGTGGGCCTGCCCGTCGCAGAATTCAGATTAGTCAGGCCATGAGTTGTTTTTACATTTCATATCATGTATTATTGCAATTTAGTGTAGCATCTCTGTATTTTTCTCAACTGATAGACAAATATATACATAGCTTTTTGGGATTAGAAAAAGAATATTTCATCTTTCTTTTGAAATTATTAAATACTCTCATGAGGAATACGGATGGCATAGTCAGCGGCAGTTGTTACTGGTTTTGTGATACCACCTGAAACATAACCCCAAAGTTTGCGACCTTGCAAGAACAATTGCATTTGTTGTTTAAAAGAATATTTCATCTTTCTTTTGAAATTATTAAATACTCTCATGAGGAATACGGATGGCATAGTCAGCGGCAGTTGTTACTGGTTTTGTGATACCACCTGAAACATAACCCCAAAGTTTGCGACCTTGCAAGAACAATTGCATTTGTTGTTTCAAGAATGATAATTGGCATCATCTAAAACAAGTTGAACGGCACAAACAATATCAAAAGGGAAGAAAGACATTTAGGGTGACTGTGGAAGGTGCGAAGACTCATAGGAGCCGAAGCCTGCACACACATAAAAAAAAAAAAAAAAAAATTGCCTAGAAAGATTTTGATACCAAGTTGAATTAGAAGAAATTTGTATTGTATTACTATATGATTTACATTATAAAACATCTTTTATATATGTGTACGGTATATATGAAAGTAAAAAAAAAATCATGAAAGTAGGATCAGATTCAGATACATTAAGAATCAAATCAAATATATTAGGATGACTTAGGATTTTATTCTAACAAAAACATTCATAAATAAATTTCATTTATAGAATTCTTTTTGTGTTTAATAATAAATAAGTTTAGTTGAAGACAAGTCATCTACTTTGAAAATTAAAAATTCTAAAAGGAAATAGTAATATCTAATCTGATATATATTATTACGAAAATCAAATCAATCTTGATCTGCCCATACACATATATAAAATGTTGGATAAAGATTAACGTAATTTCATTAAGTACTATACTATAAGCTCGTAGTTTTCATCATGTCCGTTTATCACCGCCAATTTTGTAAGTAAAAAATGGAATTGACATGCATAGACCAGGACCGTGATTTCACTTATAGACGAAATCAATGAAAAATAAATTTTATTGAAACGAATATATTTTTAATTATTTATTAAGAAAAAAATAGATAAAGTGAAAACAATATTAAAAAATCTACATTTTCGTTAGCCTAATCCATGGATAAAAACATAAATCGAGTCTAGATAAGCCTAATCTATAATAAATCTTCCTTTCACATACTATTACCTGTTAACTAATAAGGCCCCATCCATATATCCTCGTCTATAAATTAGGAGCCAAGCAGTCAAACCAATACTAATATATGTATTAGAATTCTAAACACTCACAAGAACCATGAGAATTGCTAAGTTCCTTGTAGCTCTTTCTATCTTGGTCTTGGCTTTCTCATTTGCAGTTGCTCATGATACTAGCCCTCTACAAGACTTCTGTATGGCAACCGATGATACTACCTCTGGAGGTATATATTGGCAACCGATGTACTGCCTCTGGAGGTATATAGTACTGATATCCATAACATATATAATATATCATATTATATTATATCAGTATCATTACTACTATAATGTTGTGTCTATTATTGTTATTACTCAACACCTAATACTTGTGTTTGTCACTTATAGTGATTGATATTACCTCCGTTGGTCCTATTAAGTTTGACCACAACATTTGGAGTTATTTTTTACTTTTCATTAGATGACAATTTTAGAATATATATATGTGTGCTTATTATTGTTATTACTACTAACACTAATATTTTGTGTCACTATTAGTATTACTATTACTCCGTTGGTTCTATTAAGTTTGACAAATTTTGAGTTTTTTTTTATTTCATTAGATGACATTTTTAGAAAATCTGAGTAGCATTAATTATTTTATTCCAATTTTATCATTGTCTAAATATTTACACTAGCTATACCTTGTTTCAATTGAATGAGTATTAATTAAAGGGTAATTTAGTCAATCACTTTTTTCCTTGAATTGAGATGATTTAATCATTTTATTAATTCTTGTGAAAAGTCAAAAACTGTTAAATCTAACGGAATAAAATGGATATTAAGTTTGGTTATTTTAAATTTATTGTCCTATCTCATATATCAATTGCTTACTTTATTGTCAAATATTTGTCACATTTATAGATTTAACTAACAATAAATTATTTTTTTTTCATTTTTACCCTTTGTATATGACCAACAGTAGTTAATTAAAAATTAAATTTGATGTTTGAATATTGTAGATTAATATAATATAGTCAATTCACTAAAATAATTTATTATAATTTAGAGAAATTAAATAATTTTCTTAAAGGACGTGAAATATCTAAATATTGCAAGTATTTAGGGACGGAGAGAATATGGTACAAGTCCAAGGATGGACTACATTAATTAGTTTTAAGAGTTAGTTTTCGCATATGATACTGAGTTCACCTACCTAGTTACATCCATATCAAAATTAAGCTTTATTTAAATAAAAGTTTTTTTTTTAAGGAAAATAACTATGAAAAAAATTTAGAAAAAAGTTGTTTTACCTTATATGGAAAATGGAAAGAAAATATTGAAGGAAATAATATTTTCATTATTTTTCATTTGGGTTTGCATGTTTTGAATCTCTCCAATTTGGAGAGAAAATAATAGAAAAGCGAGAATTTCACTGATTTTTATTAAATTACCTAAGTCAATTTTTGCATATGATACCAAGTTCACCAGCATAGTTCCTAGTTACCATCCACATCAAAATTTAAGTTTTTGTTTGGATGAAAGTAATTTTTTGAAGAAATAACAATAACTATGAAAAATATTTAGAAAAATGTGTTTTACCTTATTTGGATTGAGAGAAAATATTGAAGAAATTAATATTCCATTTATTTTATCGGATCTATTATTTAAAATAAGTGATTGTATAATTGTCGATTTTCAATAATAATATTTTTTTTTTGTAATAATATTATTTTATTTTCTCTAAAATTTTACCGAGGAAAAAAATTTTATTTTCTTCCCTTGTTATATCCAAAGACAAGTGTGAAAAATAAATATAAAAAATTAATAATTTCTCATTATTTCCCTTCATTTTCTTTCCAAACAAGGTGTAAGAGGTTTCTAATTGAGAGAAAAAAAACTCCTAGGTTTCTTAATAACACCTAAACTTTGACAATGATATGTTATATCTCTATGGTTCGAATTTTAGTAACATTGTATATATTTCTGTATTATCAACAATAATTTTTATGGTTTCTGTCTTTAATATATTAAATGTTGTTTAATATGTGGTTAGTATAACTTTTGGAACAATAATTTTTACATTTTTACTTATTAAGGGACTCAGTCAATAAGTGTTTAATGAAATTTAATTTTATTAGTTGAACTCTTCAATTGAAGCATTTTGTAAATTAAAATATTTATTATGTGTAATTTTATAAATTAAAGCATTAGAGTGCCATATATTAGAATTACTTGTAAAGTTTTGATACTAATTTCTGCGTTTGGCCATTCCTCATAGGTTAGGAAATGTTGTTAGCTTTGACTATTAGATACTTTCAACTGGAAATCGAAGAATCTTGGATAGATCTGGCGTAATTTGGGAAAATCAATAGAACAAACTGAATCAAATCGATTTGATTCACTTCGGTTTTTAATTTATTCAGTTTAGTTTTAATTTTAATGGGGAAAATCTAAATTTTTTTGTCAATTCAATTTTTATAAAGCCTCAAAATAAGTTTAAAAATAGCAAAATAGCTAAAAGTAACCGAATTGATTTGATTTAATTACTATTTAGTTTGGTGTTTTAAAAATTTTTGATTGACATATAGCAAATAGATTTCACTTAAAGGGTTTCTCTCCTCCTTCTTTCTCTCTATGCTATCTAACTCTAGTTTTTGTTTAGAGTTGGGGCTGTCAATCAGCGGTAGCCTCTACTTTCATTTTTTTTTTCTTTTCACTCCTGATCTTTTGTTTGTTATTAATAAATTCAAATCTATTTTCTTCTAACATATATGTTTTTCTCTTTGTTTGTTATTATTGTTGCTTTTTCTCTATATTTAGAGTTTTTTTTGTCTATTCTCCCATTAGGGTTTAGTTCCTTCTTAGGAAGGTTTGTTACTAAAACTGTGTTCGGCTACAACTTTTTAAATAGCCAATCAAGACGCTAAATGTTATCTGGTATCATAATTTTTGGACTAGCTTTTAGATGTTAGGGCACCATTTTATGAAAAGTTGATTCAAATCACGTTGAGCTTTTAACGTTTCATGAAAAACTAATTAAACAGCTAACAGCTAAACGCAACTAAAACAGCTAATTTTGTTTATCAGGTCTCTAATTTCATGGAGTAGAGATACATGAATTTAATTAAATCCAATTGCTACCTAACTATTAATTTAAGGTGAACCAACAACATCATACGTAAATCTCACGTGTGATGCCAAAATTAACAAAGTTAATAAGTTAAAACTTGACTTAATTAAACTAATTAATTAATTAAACGGATGTATAAAAATAATACTAGTAATAAAACAAAGTTAAAAGTCTTGGAGTTCAATAATTGAAGTATGGTGGGGCTGCGACTGCTTCTCTCGTGGATAGAATTAAAAATATATTTATTTTTAATGAAACAAATCGTGTTTTAATTTAAACTTTATTAACTATTTTTCTCACTCCTCCCGTGATAAAACTCACCTAAGCATGACCACAATTTGTTTTAAACCAATCAATTCAAACCAAAATCAGATAGAGGTCATTGATTACCAGTTTGAAACCATACGTTTATAGTTCGATTTTAGGTTTTTTGATTTTTTTAATCGAATTGATATAATTGTTTTAAAATTGGCGGTTTAGACTTGAAGCCATGTTGAAAAAAGTTCTTTTTAAAGAAATGCCTACTTTGTTTTATTTTTTTAATCGAATTGATATAATTGTTTTAAAATTGGCGGTTTAGACTTGAAGCCATGTTGAAAAAAGTTCTTTTTAAAGAAATGCCTACTTTGTTTTATTATAATGTTAAAAATAAATTTTTAGACTTATTTAATTGGTTTAGTTTTTTCAGTAGTACTATTATTTGTTTATTATATTATTATTATTATTATTATTATTTCTTTGAACTAAAAACCAAAAAAAAAAATGAAAAAAATTATCTAATTTTTACTCAAAACTGAAATGAAATGGCCAAAACCGTCTTACAAGCCGTCTAAAAGCGATCTGGTTCTAATTTTGTCCTTCTTATAACCGAAATCAATGGTTTTAAAATCCAAAAAAGTAGTCATACCAAACTCCAATTCGTCGTTACTTTCGCAAATCAAAGCTCTAACTTCATAAATTTATAAATAATTTTTAAATGAAAAATTGAATTAAAACTAATTTATAAATTTGATTTAGTTTAATTTTAAAATTCAAATATTTGTCTCAATTCAATTTAATTTTTGTACGAAAAGTTTTAAAAATTGAATCGGATGGAATCCAAATTGAAATGTTTTATTATTTTTAACAATATTTTCAGTTATTCTCATTCTCTTTTATAAGGAAATAATTTCTATCTCATTCTCTCTGTTATAAACGGAAATATTTCTAAGTAAAAAAGTCATCAACAAGGGAACTGAACCAGAATGGTTCCTATTTGATTTCGGTTCTCCTCTTGAAATTAGTTTTTATTTTTCTTAATGCTAATAAAAAAAAAGCGGTTCGACTTGTGCTCAATTTTGATTCTATTTAATCGACGCAACCCTCTCTTTCATGCAACTTTATTTTTACTTTAAGCTATTTTTTCTAGAAGTTTGTTGTTTGTTTGTGAATGCCTTTTTTCTTTTTAGGCTCTTTCATTTGTTTTTTGATTTTTTTTTTTATTTTTGAGTTCTTTAATTTTGTGCTTTTTTCATTTGTTTAGAGAGAAACTATCTATCTGGATTTTTTCAAGGATATAACTCCTTATTTCTTCTTTTTTTGATTTTTTTTTGAATGGATGTGTGGAATGGAGTATATTAGACTTCAAATATATTCAACTTAATAAAATAAAATAAATTTATTTCTCTAAATTGAACACTTTAAGCTATATATCTGAATGTGTACAATCACAAAATACTTGTCCTCACGATAAAAAAAAATCTTGTTCAAAGGTTGAATTTTCATATGTTATAAACTTTTTAGATTAAAAGGATAAATTGTCCTTATCAATTCTCAAAAGATAAAATTGTCCCTTATAATTCTAAAATAACATCATATACCATTTAGTAATCATCAATTAATCAACTCTTGATACCATTTCTTAATTATTTAGTACTATATACTCAACGACGGTAGGAGGGGTTAGCAATGGCCCCTATCTCCCCCTAACCAAAATTGTTTTAAAAAAAAATATATCCATAAGATATTGATTTTTTTTTTATTTTACCTTTTAAACAATACATAAATGTTTTCAATTTAACCTAAAAAATATTTTAACCCCTAACTTTAATTTCTGGCTTATATACTTTTAATTCGAAATATGTATTCAAAATCTAGCATAATAACCATTCAACCATGTTTTTGTCCGCCTGAAAGGCTTCGTTTCTTTATTGCCCTGTGAGAGAGAGATTGTGGAAGTGGTGGTAATGATGATGAGGTTTACATGAAAGAAAGTATGTTAAATAATTTTATCTGGGATAAAGAAGTGAGAGAGGAAAATTTTTAAAAAACATAAAAAAAAAATCTTTTAATTAAATTAATTATAAAATAGCATTATTTTTACTAATGGAATACAATTATAACTTTTAAAAAATTATTACTCTATTTTTTTTTCTCTTGATCAATGGTTAAAAGTCTCTTGTGATCCCATGGTTAAAAATAACTCTCATTTTGAAGAACATTATTTTTGATTCGCTGGTTTACCATTTCCAATTTTGAGTGTTCTACATCGAGGTCAGGATAACATAAAATCATTTGAAGAAAAAATTATTTTTGATTGGTTTACTTTCCATTTATGAAGTGGTCTCATAGGTCAGGGATACATAAATCGTTCCGAAAAAGCACAGAATAAAAGGGCAAAAATTGTGTTTTTTTGCACTATATCTAAATTGGGGATAGCACATGGGAAATGCTTCCACAGTGCATTAGTAGTTGCCCACTAAACTATGCACTAGTCACGGTCATGGTAGATAGATAGGGTGCATAGTTTCCTTTTCGATAAGTAGATTTTTATTGTCCTTGGCTTTGTGAGAACCTAAAATCCTGCCAAGAGGAGAGAGGAGGGCCAACCTTGGAAAGAGAGCTTTCAAAAAATAAATTTAGCCGGCAATGCATAGAAAGAGATTGATGCGGAAAAATCCTGTCTTTATTGAAATTGAACAAAAAGAAAATATCGCAATAACTTTTTAAATTTGTGTCTTTTATAGAATCACGCACCGAACAATGTGGCTACTGAAGTTTTTAAAAATTATGTTCATCACTTAGCGAGTGTGATATGTGACATTTTTTATGGATTAAACTTTATTAATAAGCACTTGAATTAGATTAATACATTACATCTCGAGTTGAATTTTATCTATAAGTTTAAAAATTTAAAATCTAAAATTGTTACTATTGATAGAGCTTTACTTGAATATCAACCACAATTCAAATGTGAAAATTTATTTACGCATAAAAAAAAAAGATTAACATTTTCTCATTTATTAAAAGTGCTAATGAGCTGAAATGGCATTACAGGCTACACAACAAAGGTAGTCAACGGCACCTAATTTTTATTTTTATTTTTTTTGAAATTTACCTTATAAAATATAGAAAATTTTACATTTTGTTATAACGAGTGATTTTTTTCGATATCGCTTCCTCTAAATTTTAGAAAAAATTTTTTGCCTCTTCTAATTATTTTTTCTTGTTCCACTACAGGGATAGCTTTTCTCATAGTTCACTAAATTGATAAAAACTCTTATGATCGAAAGAACTTGAACTCGTGATACTTGGTTGGCAAAAAAAGATTAACCTTTTGAACGAGACATTTATTATAATTTCCATGAAAAAGTTTCAGGTTTCATCTGGCAATCTGTACCAGCTAATACGAGAAGCATAAAACATTAACAAACAGATTTGCTTTATCGAATTTTCTTTTGTGTTTGGTAATAAATAAGTTTGAAACTCTAAAAGAAGAAAATATATGTATAAAAATCAAATCAATATTGATCTATAAAAGGAGAGAGTAATTAAATTTATTCATTTTCATTTTTATTAAATACTCATTCTCGCATTTTTATCTTAAAATAGCTGTAGGGCAACGTTATTATTTAGTTTCTCCTTATTGCACGGCTTATCTCGCCACAATTCTTATGTGGAAGTAAAATCCTCCACATCCTACCGCTGTGCCCTTAAAAGGAATTAAATAAACCCACCATTTGATTACCCTCTTCTATAAATTTTATTACCCAACATCGATGAAACCTCCATCCATTCATTGACCTTATCCAAAACCCTACTCGCATATCTAAAAACCTCATCCATTCATTGCTTATCAAACCCTACTCGATATCTAAACATTCCAAAAAATAATGAGAATTGCTAATTTTCTTGTACCTCTTTCTATCTTGGCTTTGGCTTTCTCAGTCTCCGTTGCTTATGATCCTAGCCCTCTACAAGACTTCTGTGTGGCAACCGATGATACTTCCTCTGGAGGTATTCATATATACGTGCTTGTTATTATTACTACTACTACTACTTTTTATTACTATTAGTATTCCTATTACTCACTCTGTTCCGTTAAGTATATCACAAGTTTAACCACATAACTACTTTTTCTTTTCTAATTAGTACTACTTCCTTTCCACAATACTTGTTACGTTTGAGAAAATAGTTGGTTCCAAAATACTTGTTATATTTGTGATTTCAAGGAGTGGTAAATCTTTTTTTTTTTCTATGTTTAACCTTTGTATATGAAACAAAATCTTTGTTTATAGAGTATGATACCAAGAATCAAATGTCAGTGAATAACGTACCAACCAAATGAATTCTTGGATTGGAAAGGCAGTTAAAGTGAACTTTTGAAGTTTGAACATTAACCTTAAACTTGAGTTATTGTTCCTAGGGTTATCACTAATCCATATTAATTAACCTGTCTAGAATTTGAATTTTAACATCAGATTCATCGGATATCACTTTGTATAACGATGAAAATCCTAATATATATTTTAAAGATTTTGATAACGAAAAGATAATAGAATGTCAATAGAATCGGCATCACATGGGATTAAACTTTCTCAAATGCAGTAATTCCTGAAGCGACATTAGATAAGGTAAATTGCGTATAAACTTCTCGCATGGGATTAAACATTTGCAATCACACCTCAATATCCTTCATGTAATTTTATTTTTTCGATTTTTCATAATTCTGTTGAAATTTGGAGCTGTATTAATCCTTGGCTAATACCCACTTCCAATGCGCTTTAAAAATACTATTTATGTGTCTTTTTATCTTATTTTTGAAATATTCCAATCTATTCAAGTTTAAAATTTCCAGCACGTCCACATCAATAAATTAACGTATCATGATATAAATAAGATAATCAACTTCAATTTTAATCTTTGATGCAGGCATCGTAAATGGAAATTCTGCAAGGATCCAGAGCATGAACAGCAGGGGCGATTTTTACCATCACTGGACTTAATATTGCTAGCGCACGCACATCGCTCAGACCAACACTTGGATCCGTACATAAATCTTCTTAACCTGTAGAAGACAATACCACGGACTCGAACTACTATTAGCAACTATCCCTTGTTCGAATTGACTTCGAAAGGCCAGGCCGGAGTCAACCCGCCACCACCAATCACCCCGAGGCATCTGAAAATTCATAAAAACAGATATTGGAAGGAACATACATTATATCTGGTATTCAATTACAGAAATCCGATCATAAGGCTTTGTCAACAAATTTTAAAAGCATCATAAGGCTTTTGTCAAAATTTTAAAAGCAGGAGATGTTTTTGTATTTCCATTTGGATTAATTCACTTCCAGTTCAATATTGGTAAAAGCCCTGCAGTTGCTATAGCAGCATTAAACAGTCAAAATCCAGGAGTGGTAACTTCAGCAAATACCGTTTTTGGAGCTGTTCCTTCTCTTAATCTTCAACTTTTGGCCAGAGCTTACCATCTTGATAAAAATATAGTGGCTAATCTTACAAAACAAGAATGGGTCAATCCATCTGACCTTAATGCGTATTCTAGCTATTATTGATATATATTTAGAGTTGTGACAGAGATAAAAATGAAGATTGATGTTACCAACTCTTTCTCGTCTGTATTGTAATAACAGAGAAAGAATATCTATCTATCTATATATGTGTGTGTGTGTGTAAGCAAAGCAGTTTGCGTTATATAAAAGTCAAGTGTAAGCATCTGAAATTACCAAGTATGAGAATAACAATAATTATTTAGTACGATTATAAGAAGATACGATGTAATAGCAACAATTGTAAGAAGATAAATTGTTTTATATTTTTAGATAATGTCTTTATCATGATAATATTTATTAGTTACATAATATTAAGATAATACATTAAATTAAATTAAAATATAATTACAATATAAATAATCCAAGCCATAAAATAAGAAATACTTAATCAAATAATCCAAGCCATACACATAAGAAATACTTAATTGCTCACTAGGAGCTAAAATTGCCACGGCAACTCTGGACACGAGATACGAAAACCGACTAACGGAATATATGGTAATAAATAAACAATCATTTATAATAAATAAAAAACATAAAATAAAAATGCTTAATTTTTATTTTAATATAATTAGTTTAAATTAAAATTCAAATTCAAATTAAAATGCATATAACCCAAATTATAAAATAAAACACTATTTAATTTCTTATTTTAATGATTACCTTGATGTATGGGATAGTCTTATATACTAGAAGTTCTGTTGCATAGATACGGGACACGGGATACAAGAACGTACGGATATGATAATCAATAAACAATCACTTGTAATAAATAATAAATAAAAAATAAAAAACTTAATTTCTTATTTCAATATAATTAGGTTAAATTCTCAAAATTATTATCACTATTGAAAAATCTATATCTATCTATATAATATATAAAAGCAGGGTAATTTGCTTTATATAGAAACTAAGTGTAAGTAGCACAATTTGTCACTTGGTGTTATTTTGGTTTATAGAATGATAGATGTTAAAATACACACAATTTAGCACAATTATAAAAATTGTAAAAAGATCCATTGTTTTATATTTTCAGATAATCCCTCTATCAAAATTATATCTTTAAAAAACATTATCTCTAGCATTTAATTTAATATATTAACATAAATTTATTTTTTCTTATAAAACAATTAATAAGAAATCCCCACGCTTAAAAAAAGTGTGAATAAGTAATATATTACTATTAAATAAATAATATATAAGCAATTTAAAAAATATAAATTGAAACGTATGGATATGATAATTTTTAAAAAAAGTAGAGCATCCACACGTTTAAGACACGTTACACTAAATAAGTAATACATTAATATTCCAAATAAATAAACAACAATTTCTAATAAATTATAAACATGAAATAAAATAAAAACTTAATTTCTTATTTCAATGACACAAAAAATATTTAAAAATACTTCATTTTTTATTAGTAATAAAAATTAAAAAATACCTTCATTTGGTTTGATTCACGTATAAACAATATTTGATTTGATATAGCTTGGCTGTATAGAGTAGTCTTCACATATACCAGCGAAGCTAGTTCGCCACAAAAAATGGACACACGATATGGAAATAAGTATGGGCATACAGATAATTTTAAGAAAACAGTAGGGTATATTCACTCGCTTAAAAACAGCCATTACACTTACAATAATTAATCTTATTATATTTTAAAATAAAGAATAACAATCATTTATAATAACACTAAATAAAAAAACACTAAATTTTCTATTTCACAATGACCACAAGCAATTAAAAAAAAAACACTTCTTCTTTACTTGGTAATAAAAACATCTGTAGTGATAGCTGATGGATGAATAGTCTCGTATTTACACAAAACATAGGACATAAGATACAGTGAAATATATTAAAATACGATAATTTAAAAAAGGCCAGAACTTCACACGCTTATGATATCAGTACACTTAAATAAGTAATATATTTAATATTTTAAAATAAATTTAATATCATCTATAATTAAATTATAAACCAAAAATATAAAAAAAAACTTAATTTACTTATTTCAAATGCCACAAAAACAAATAAAAAACTTTTAATTTTTTTTTTTGGTAATAAAAACCCTGGTTGATTAGCTTGGTGAAACAACCCGGAATTTTATTTTTCAAAATTTTCATTAAATTTTAATTAGTAATTCGTAAACCGTGACATTGTAGCGATACTATATTATTTAAAATTAAATAAATCTTAATATCTATGAATTTTATTTAGCAAAATTAAATGCAAATATATTTCTTTCATGGTTAACCAAACTGAACTAAATGCAAACAGTAGAGAACAAATTGAACAAAATCGGCAAAACCATGTTTAACACCCATGAAAGAATGAAAATCACACAAAAACCATGATTTGGACTTGAACCCAACCCGAATCAAAACCAAACCCAAAAAAATCAAAAACCTAACAATTCCAGAAACATCCCCCTATCCCCATTTGGAGCGCCAACCTCACACTCTTCCTCCTCTCTTCGTTTTTTCCAATCACCTGAGACAGCGCCATTCGACCACCACTCCTCTACCTCCGAGTTTCACTTTTTCTTTTCGAACCACCACTCCTCTACCTCCAGTTTCCCTTTTCTCTCTGTTTACCCTAGCCCAGCAAAGGAGAAGCTGTGCTATTCCGAGTGCTATTCCGATCGGCACAGCCTCCTGCAGCTCCTCTCTTCGATTCTCCGGCAAGATCAACCAAAGACCGGTCGATTAGACCCTCCTCTTGACGCTAATAGCTTTGTCGGCCACAGACCTCGTCAGTTCCATCCAAGTTTGCACCAACAGTATCGGTTTTGAGCATTCGAGCTATTTTCGGTCATTTTAATCGGAAATATTCAATTTTCCACACATTCTATTGCTAGGTAAATTGATTTTTGACCCTGTTTCAGTATATTTTCATGAATTCTTTGATTATAGTTTAAGAATGAGTGTAGCATGATTATGACTGCAATTATTTTATTATTGCTAATACTTAGGCTATTTGCAGAAATTTAGATTATATATACTAGCTAACTGTTTAGGTTGATGTGATAGGAATTTCGAATTTTCGCTTTCTGAATTTGGTATATAAAAGTGATGCTCCTATGATCGATGGTACCTTTACATAATATTCAATTATTATAAATTCTTGTGAGAATTAAGCCATTTTTAAGGCTTGAAGATAAGCTAGTTAGCTATATTTTCAAGCCCTTGTTTATCCTATGTAAGGATTATTGAATTGTTTCCATTTTGAATGAGTTTATAAACTGATTTTATTAAGAAATGTGGCGCAAAACCGCTGTAGTATATCAGGGTATTAAATAGAAAACTTTGAAGCCCTTGAGCGACACACAAATTTTATTTTAGTTGATTTCATTGACATTGTAGTGTTATTCGCGCCGGATGAGTATGTGAAGTCGTAAATGGCCGGATGAGTATGTGAAGTCGTAAACCGGGTTCTTGATGCGGTATAAGCTTAAGTTTAGGAAACTATATTATTGTTGGTGGGCAGCAGCTATTTCGGATACTTCGTACCATTTTATATAATTGGCATGGAAACAGACATATGTATGTATTGATATATTTAATACTCCTATGTCGGTTACCGCTTGATAACAATATTCTTGCTAAATTAACGATTCAAATATAAAACTCTTTAGCTATATCTAGAAGTTGTATTTTTATGTCAAAGATAGAGAAAAATTGATGGGGCTTAATTATATGTGCCTGAGTTGGGTTACTTCACAGTATGACTTCAGTTTAGCTGACTACCATATAGAGTTTTATAACAATTAAATATGATGTTGATACCTTGAACAAGGAATGATGGTAATATGTTTTTGGAACAAGTGAAGGTTATTTTTAATTTGCGGAGTATGGTTGAATCGGTGATATTTCTATTTCTGCGAGGATGGAAATCGGACTTGAGATTGATTGCCATGAACGGATGGGGCTGTGTCTATTTGACTTCGATCAATATATATACCTATATATATAATAATACATTTGTCGATATTAAAACAGGTAGATAGTCCTATTTTAGGGAAATTCTGCCGAAATTTCGATGACCTTAGACTGGTTTAATTTAATAACATAATTAATAAGTTTATATTAGATAAATTCTAAATTTGATACATAATTCAAATTTAAAGTGCTCTTAATTATTTATTTCATATTCATTGTTATTCATTAATTTATTCCATTATATTTATTTTCATTTCTTATTAGTTTATTATTATTATTGTTATGTTTAATTACCTATTTATTTATTTGTTTCATTTTTTGCATTGCATTACGATGTTTAATTGATTAATATGCTTGCCATTTAATGTGCAATACTTGATTAATTGTGTTTGATAACTGGCTATTGCCTTGATGTGTGGAGTTGGGATGAAGTGGCGTCAGTGTGGAGTTGGGATGAAGTGGGTCACTATTGGTTTGTGAGGGCGGTCCACGAGACCGTTGGCCGTATGAGAGATCGGCACCCCGTGTGCACCTGATGATATGGATTATATAGAAACCACAGGGTGGCTTCTTATTGGGCGCCCCTGATAATCTGGATTTTATGGTGGTAGCCCGCAGGGTGGCCTCCTGTTGTGTGCACCGGCAGATCTAGATTTGACAGAAACGACCGGGTTGCCTCCTGTTGGTATGAAAAAGAAAAAGAAAGGAGAGAATGGAAAGACAATGAGAGTGCTGGTCAAGTGAGGATTAGACCGGTCGGCCATGTATGGGGATCGGCTCCCTGGTGCACACATATGAGAGGGCAAGCCATGTGTGAGGACGGCTCGTTGAGGTTTCGGTGACGCCATTAACTAATTTCCACGTGATGTGATTATATGAAAATGTTAATAATTGTGAGTGCTAGTGATATGCCATTTGTGTGACTGACTGCGTGAGCATATATATACTAGTCGGATGACTAGATCGATCATATTTAACATATTTGTGTGAATGCGTGTATTGTGCAATAATTATTACTCCTTAGAAAACTCATATGTTCTTGTTTAATTTTTAGGAATT